TGTTTTCATTATAGAGCTTTTGTTTCACTGAAATATGATCCTATCAGATTTCAGTGTTTATGTGTATTATTGCAACGTGCACATCGCTATTTGAAAAGCTTCTGACATAGTTCTAACAGAATGTTTTTTCTATTTGAAGAGAGTATTACAAAAGTAGGCTTACAGTTGTGTGGAAAATAATACAATAATCCTATATGATAAAAGGTTAATATGCAAATAGGCCGAATGGCGGAATGACTGGTCGCTATGATGTGCACTGACCACCAGGGGGCAGATGCTCAATGCAGGAGCTCTCTCTCTCCCTCTCTTTCTCCCTTCCCCTGTTCTGAGACCTTCTGATGTGGCCCTTAGAAGGCTGGGTATCCTCCAGAACCTGTGAGTAATAAACCTTGTGATTTCATAGATGCCTCATGATTGTTGCAATTTTAATAAGGACCACAAGAGCCCGTCCAGCCACAACATTGACTGTGGTCTGAGGAACCAGTAGGAAGGCCCAAGGCCAGTGCCCAGGCATTTTCAGCCTATAGCATTACCATCAACAGGCTGAGATTTATGAGGAACAAGGATAAAGTCAACATTATTAGGAAGAGCAGTTAAAGTACTGATGTATAAAGAATGAGAAACAGCCTGGCGGGTTTGGCTCAATGGATATAGCATAGTCCTGTGGACTGAAGTGTCCCGGGTTCAGTTCTTGTCCAGGGCACATACCTGGGTTGTGGGCTCAATCCTCAGTAGGGGCCATGCAGGAGGCAGCTGATCAATGATTCTCAATCATCATTAATGTTTCTTTCTCTCCCTCTCCCTTACTCTCTGAAATAAAAATATATTTTAATAAAATATATTTTAATAAAAATATATTTAAAAAAAGAATGAGACACATAGAACTTAAAATTGACATTTCAGCGTTTCCTGGAATGAAATTTTATAAATAGTGTGAGTAACCAAGCAATTTTTTTCCAACGGGAATAATACAACTTATGACTATTCTATCTATAAAATAAGAACAATTTCCTTACAATGATGTATATTATTTGAGAATAAATTAATCTTCAGAAATCCATGTTGTCCATGAAACAAACTAGAATTTGCATTCTGATCAAGGTTGGAAACAGCTGTTAGGTTAGAACAAAGGAGAGAGGGAATAACTGTCTGTATAATAGATGTAGCAGAAAGTGCAATGGAATGGTTACTTAAATTGTGTAGAGAAGTTGAACTCAAATAAATGGAAATTCCAGGAAATAAATAAAAGAAGCAAGTTGTACAAACACTATCTGATTAAAGGATCTTAATACCTGGTTTTCACTCTTGAAGCCATGAAATCAAGTGCAGTTTTTCAGACTCAGCACAGCTGTTTTTTTATGGCTGCCATCCCAAAGAATCGTTTCAGGGCCCCTTTTATGTCTTTGTTCCTGAGACTGTAGATGAAGGGGTTCAGCATGGGTGTGACCACGCTGTACATCACTGAGGCTGCTGCACTTGAGTGTGAGCTATGGGTAGCAGCAGAGCTGAGGTACACTCCTAGGCTGGTACAATAAAATAAGGAGACAACTGAGAGGTGAGACGCACAGTTAGAAAATGCCTTATACTTCCCCTGAGCCGATGGGATTGCACGTATGGAGGACACTATTTTAGAATATGAGTAAAGTATCCCAGCTAGGGGACCACCGCCCAGGAGCACAGCTACAAAATATATCACCATGGTATTAAGAAAGGTGTCAGAACAGGCGAGTTGGACCATCTGATTGAGTTCACAGAAAAAGTGGGGGATTTCCAAGTCTGTACAGAAAGTTAGTCGCAACACCATTAAGCTTTCTAATAAGGAATGCAGGGCACTTGTGATCCAGGATACCAAAAGCCCAAATATGAGGGGCTGCAGTTCTGGTTCCTCTGAAAAACCCAGGAGAATGAATTCTGACGCTCCTGTAAGATTCCCTGGTTCCATGAGGTGGGGGTGACTTCCAAGAAAGAAGAAAAGAGCATGAGGGCTTTCCATACAATCTAGTATTGCTCACATGGCTCTAATGCTACAGTGTGTCTCCTGCAGTCAAGAAATAAGTTTCAACATTTTGGTCTGGATTTGGTTCCATCTAGGACTTTCCTGTGTCATTTCAGAATAGCTATTTTTGTCCCAAACTGCTTTTTCCCTAAGATGTCAGGTATACTACAGTTTTAATGGGAAATTTTTCATGCATTTCAGGAATATGAATTGAGTGCTGACCATGGTTTCAGTACTGTCTGGGCTGTACGTAGAGGGTGCTGAAGAACAAAGTCCCTACAATTCAATCTGGAGGAAAGAATATAGAAGCAAATAATAGAAATATATAAATATTAGTCAATGGTAAAAAGTGAGAACACCTAGTTTAGATCAGCACTTCTCCAATTTCATTGTTCCCATGAAGTCCCCAGGATTCTGGCTCAAATGCAGAATTTGATGCAGCAGGTCTGGAGGCCTCAGAGAATCTGCATTTCCGACAGGCTCCCTGTTGGTGTGATGCTGCATGTCCTGGCCTGAGGACCACTCTCTGAGTAGAAAGGCTGTGGTTCTGTGTTAGAGGTAGCTGCAGGTAGTTTTAGGTCTTATCACCCAAGTATTGTCTTTGCATGGAGTTTTAAAGGAATAGTTACTCATTCTAGAGGTTATGATTAAATATTTGTTTCCTTTGTATAAGGGCCCTTGAGTGACACAAAATAATACTGAAAAATGGTTTGTAGCAGGTAGAATAAGAACCACTAAAAGATGTCCACATCCTAATCCCCAATAGTTTTAAATATGTTATTTTTTTATAGCAAGGGAAAGTTAGGGTAGCAGATGGAACAGGGTTGTTAATTAGCTGACTTTATTTATTTTATTTTTAAAATATATATTTTTATTGGTTTTAGAGAGGAAGGGAGAGGGAGAGAGAGATAGAAATGTCAATGCTGAGAGAGAATCACTGATCAGCTGCCTCCTGCATGCCCCCACTTGAGATTCCACTGGCAACCCAGACATGGGCTCTTTTTTTTCTTTTTCTTTAATTCTGTATTGTTTAAAGTACTACATATGTCTCCTTTCTCACCATTGATCTCTCCCCTGCACTCCCACTCTCCAGCCCATGCCAGGCATGTACTCTTGACTGGAATTGAACGGGAACCCTTCACCCTGTAGGCCTATCCTCTATCCACTGAGCCTAACCAGCTAGGACAATAATTGACTGACTTTAAAATAGAAGATGAGCTCGGATCATCCAGGTAGAACTAAGGTAAACACAATGGTCCCCTAGATGCAAAAGGAGAGGCAAGATGAAAATGTACACTATTGGTTTTGATGAAGGAGAAAGGGCCCTGAGCCATGGAATGCAGGTGGTCAGCAATGCAAACTGGAATTGGGAAGAAAACAGATTCTCCCCTGAGCCTCTAGTCTAGAAGGAACGCTGTGCTGTGCACATCTTGATATGAGACTCATTTCAGGCTTCTGGCACCTAGACCCGTATATATAAACTTTCAACAACGACTGCAGGAATATTTTATAGCAGCAATAGAAATCTCATGGAATAATTTATTCAGCAAAATATGTTGGACGAAACTGAGTTTAATTCTCTCTATTCATTAGGTTCCTTGGGTAAGGGCATTTTACTTTGAAAACCCACATGAAGTAAAGAATAAAATTTATAACTATTTGGAGATATTCCACCCCATTAGCTGGAACAGTGAAGTCCTCATTACACAGATGTAAACTGCTGTTAACTATGATGCCTTTGTGTCATTAAGGCTTAAGGTACAGTGTGTGGCCTTAATTTCTCTATCACTGAACTGTAAAAAGTATTGGCTCTCAGCACACTACACTCTGGCTAGAAGATGGTCAGTCCTCAATTTATATTCCCCAAGTGCACGGCAAAATTTCTCATTCAAAGTATGGAAAAATGACCACTGCAGGATTAGGGTGAGTGTGTGTCGAGTAAGACTCCCTCCACGTTCTGCATGGAGTAGGGTTCGGTATCTGAAAGAGGAGCCGCACAACAAATGAGAGAAAAAGACATGAGATAATTTTGCAATATTGGGGGACCAGGCGGCCAAGTCCCGAAGGACTTCCACCTATGCTCAGGCCTCTCCAATCTTTTATTGATCTGGAGTATCCCTTAGGGTAAGGAGGTTCAATGACACACAGATCAGCAGACAATTTCCAGGAATAGACAAAGTATCTGATTAGCTCATCAATAGATTTCCAGGATATCTGATTAACAATAATCAACAAGGATCTACATAAGTATCTAAGGAATTAAGGGAACTAAGGTGAGGATGCTTCAACTATTATTACCTAAATTACCATCTGG